GAAATAAAGGCCTTGAAGGCGCTTCGGCGATGTGAGTTGTGCGGGCCCTGGGTTTCACTCGGCAAGCTTTGCGACATGCACGGGGCAATTCTTCGATGTGGTCATGCGGGCAGCAGATGGTGAACAGTTTTTACTTTCAGGCGTAGCAGGGTGCAGCCTCAGCAATGAAAGGGGCGCTGATGCCACATAATTCCACAAAGTTAGCGACCTGTGAAATCGTTGGTGCGGAACAGTGCTTGCCTGCGTGCCATGACTCGCCACCGATGTTGCGTGGTTGGCTTCAGCAGCCTGTTTTTGCGAACAAGTTGCACACCAAGCGTATGCAGGCGCACGCAACATGCCCAAAAGTAGAGAAGCATGTTTAACGAACTTCTGTAGATGTCTATACAAGCATGTTTTACGAACTTGGATTGATGTACAAACATAATTTGGCTGCAAGTTGCTCCGCATGTTTAACGAACTTTCGGTAGATGTCTATACAAGCATGTTTCACGAACTTGGGTTGATGTACAAGCATAATTTGCCTGCAAGTTGCTCCCTTCGCATTGCCCCGGTGGCTTCGAGTGGCTGAAGCAATGGGAAGAGTGCGCAAAAGATCCGTGCTGTGGGTGGTGATTTCCTTGTGGCTGCAACACGTCGGATGCCCCATTAGCTTCAGCACACCCAATCGTGCCAAGAATTGGCTTCCCCAGCGTGCTCTTCCACCTGGCTGGGTTGCACAGGCAGCAGAAGCATTTCGGGACCCGTCGGTCCGAGCAGTGTCGGCTGCTCTGATACAGGCTCAGACAGTTGCGAACTTTGTCACCAGTTTCGACAGCGCGGGGAAAGTATGGTCTGAATGGATAAAACTAGGCGTTTATGATGGCACTGGTGACGTCACCAATCATGTGTCACAACTCATACAGTCAATGAAGCAGAAGCTGGAAGCGCAGAACAACACAATCATATCAAGCACCCAGAGCAGCAACATGCCCGAAGAGCCGGTCAGGAAGACCTACATCGAGCAGTTGATGGTCGCGACGTTGCTAAACAGCACACCAGGCATGTCAGCGGTTTATGCTGAATCTGGCACGGGCAAGTCAGTTGCAGCGACACTGGCAATCACTGCCGTGGCAAGGGGTCGGGTAAATGATGTCTTCGTCCTGTTGCAGGGCAATCTGAACCAGAGGCTGCGAGCCTTCCTTCGCATCGCTGACGAAAGCCTCACGGATGACATTGCGGACCCGTTCTTTAGGGCCTTGCGACGCGAGGACATCGAGTTGCACGTGATATTCGACAATGTCCTAGACAGCGGCGTTCCCAACGACGCGGTTCAAGACAGTTTGAAGTCACTTGCGCGCGCGGCCTGCGAGCACCAACACCAGATAATCTTCACCATGCAAACTCGAGAGGCCGCAGAGTCAGTCAGAGACATGAACGGAGCCACTACTCGCATCGCGCCGCAACAAGATGAAGCATTCGGGGCATACCGATGGAACAAGAACGAGGTGCAAAAGCTGATTGCAGGTTTGCAAACGGCTAAACAGCCAGACTTGATCCTCGCGGAGTCTGAAATTCCTGATGACCTGGGACGGTGGCGACCGAGGGATACCAAGCTCTTCGCATCAAGTGGTCTGAAACCTGCACCACAAAGTCAACGGCGTCAATTGCAAGCAGGCCGGTGGCCAAGTGTGACGTCATTTGGCGCTGAGCCGTTGTAAGGACTTGACTAGGATGATTCGACCTTGCATTTTTGGCAAGGCTTTGGCACGACCTCAAAGTTATCCGTCGTCTGGGTGCGGGAGCTGATCCGCAAGGACTCTGCTGTGTGAGAGCAAGTGCCGGTAATTGGAGCGCAAGGCTGACCGAGAGCATCAGTAGCATTCAGCTGAACGCAGGGTTGGGGCACCTGTTGGGATCTGGGCTCCAGTGTGTCTCGGACGCTCGTCGACAGGGGCGAAGCATGCGGCATGCCCATAGTGGCACACGTCTGATCGTGGGAGAGGGGAGGGGCGGGAGTCTGGCAGTTTTTGGCTGTTCTTTGCTGGGAGTGTTTCTGCAAGCTTGCCGTCAGTTCATGTCTGCCGCAGTTTTGACCCACTCGACTCGCAGGATCGGACGGTCACAGGAAAGCTGAGGCCCGAGGAGGATTCCGATGCAAACAAATCATGTCCACGTTGCAAGCAATGCATTCTCCAAGACGGGTGGCTGAATTTGTTCGCATCTCTGTTGAAAAAAGTTGCCGACCCACAACTGAAGTTCGATGACGGCAAGGAGCTCGAGCCGACGGGCAATGCGTTCCAAGTGGAAGGAACCTTGACTATCGCCGCGACCTTAGCTCCATTCACTCGATTGCCTCAGTTCATTTCTGTATTTACGAGCGGTTCTCCACGCTTTTGACGTCAGGTGGATGACTTGAAGAAGGCCCTGCGCTTGGATTTTGCACGTGGATTTAGCTCGTCCTGTCTTTGGAGTTGTTTGCAGATGCGCGATGAAAACATTGAAGTTTAGAGTGTCCATGTTTGCACCTCTCGCAACCCATGAAATCAGGCAATGAAAGTGGAGAAGGAACTGTCCAGAATCCTTTGTTTATCGCTGCAGGCAATCGACCCTTCCTTGTCTCCGTATCAAGCGTCCAAGATCGGAATCTACAGCCAGAAGGAGGACTTTTCATGTCTCCCCTAGCCCTCCCTGTGCCGCGTCTCAGCTTGACTTTGCAGGATGGGCGCTGGGTGCCGGAAGATGAAGAAACAAAAGTAAATCGCGGCACATCCAAGCCCAGCACTTGGTTGCCATGACTTTTCAGCTTAGGGTTTTTTGCCGTCGCCCCGCTCGCAGGGCAGATTGCTACGGGTTCGTGCTGCCACCAGCGGACGACGTATAAGTTGCATGCGTGTGCCTCAGCAGCGCCGGAGTTTGAGCGCTGCGAAGTTGCATCCGTCCTTGTTGTGTGAGCTTCTCGGCTGAGGTAGCAGCAGCATCACTGACGTTTTTGGCGTTGACTTCCAGGATTAGCAGACAGCAGTTCAACGCTCACATTCTTTGAGCAGGCTACGGCGTTCAAGTTTTCAAGTCAAGCGGGGCGTGCAACGGGTACAGGATCAGCGACACAGATGCCAGTGCTGGTCAGAAGCAGTTTCACAGAGGCGCTCTTAGTCGTGCTTAAGTGCATAGACGCGATCAATCCATTTGAAGAAATCTGGAGGAAGAGCGCTTGCATTGCTTTGCTCCGCCAGTACTTCAACTTTGAGTCTTACTTGTTAGCATGATTTTTCTGGCTGAATCGTGAATGAAATCGGAGAATCCGTGCTCGCAGCTGTGCGGGCTCTGGGTTTCACTCATCAACCTTGCGACGTGCAGTCGGTGTGGCCATGTTTGCAAGTGACATGCTTCGGATCAAACCGGGCGCCGCTCGGGATAGAAACCGGGGGGCTCCGAAAGGAGCAAGGTCGGAATTCCGACCCCGGTATTCCGGCCTCGGTTCAGGCCGACGAAACGGGCGCCCTGCCCGGAATAGAGGTCGGGAAAAATTAATTGATTTTTTTTTCGGGCCGGCTTGTCATTCTTGTCATTCCTGTCATTGTTTAGACGTCCTCCAGAGCACACAAGTACCTGTGACAGAATGACCAGCCCCCGAGAGGGCAGCGGCAGGAGACAAGAATGACAAGCTTCCCGAGGCTCGAAATAAAAAGCAAAGTTCTTGCAAAGAGCGCTGAAACGGGCTTGAAGGGGGGCCCACCCGGCTGTAGCTCGTAGCAGCTCGCGAGCAGCATGCATTTAGCTTCTGGGCAGCTCTTTCTGCGACTCGCTGTCCTTCCTAGCAGCTCGCAGGCCCAGCGTGTGCCCTTAAACTGCTTCCGAACAGCTCGCAGGCTCTCCACGCGCCCTCAAACTGCTCCCGAACCGCCGGGCGCCCCGTTTGCAAGCACTTTAGAGCCCCTTCGATTCCGCGACCTACCGCTCCGAGCCCGCATAAACGGAACTTAATGTGATTCGGGGAGGGTGTTCCAGCCTCGTTTCGAGAGATGCTCGAGAATTTCTACGTTTACAATTTGCAAATCCATGTTGCCATGCGAAGCTTCAATTGTGTCAGCGGAGCTGATGGCCAGCACCGAAACAATCCCACGCGCGACGATTTCCAAGAACGCTCGACAACAAACCAAAGCAGATCGACTGTGATGGATTCACGTCCACCTCGAACGTGCACACAACGAACGCTGCGAGCGCCTTCGGCCATTGCGATCTGCAACTAATCGATCCATCCAAAGGTAGCACAGCGGACCCGCAGTGACTCGTAGTGACTCCGTAGTAGTGAGTAGTGACCCGTAGTGAACCGCAGTGACCCGTAGTGACCCGTAGTGACCCGTAGTGACCCGTAGTCGTAGTGACCCGTAGTGACCCGTAGTGACCCGTAGTGACCCGTAGTGACCCGTAGTGACCCGTAGTGACCCGTAGTGACCCGTAGTGACCCGTAGTGACCCGTAGTGACCCGTAGTGAGTGACCCGTCGTGACCCGTAACGCGTAGTGACCGTTACAGCTGCATCGCGAAGAACAGTCGTAAAAAGCGCTGCAAACTGCGGTATGACGCAGAAGCATCACTTCCCTGCAGAGACTCGGTTAGAGACTCAGTCTTTTTGGAATCTTTTACGGTGAAGACTGCAGTCTTTTTGGAGTCTCTTCGAAGTCCGCCTACCACTTCTACTGCTGCAAACTGCTGTTTCTGCTACTACTGCTTCTACTTCGAGCAAGATTGCGACATTGTTGAGTTATTGTTGGCTCATATTTTGTCATTCTTGAGCCATTCTTGAATTAAACAAAATTCTTTTTGTGTCTTTTTGAACAAATTTGCATTTTTTATTCTGCAGCAAACGAGTTTTTTGTGCATTGTAGTGACGTTGTAGTGACGTTGTAGTGACGTTGTAGTGACGTTGTAGTGACGTTGTAGTGACGTTGTAGTGACGTTGTAGTGACGTTGCTACAAAAGAGGCTGTCGTGACATTTTAGTGGCTTTTGGAATAAGTTACCATAAATCAAACCGAGCGAGCCGCGGAATCATAGTGCCCAGTGGCGACCCTGTGGCGACCTTGTGGCTGCCACTGCTGCTCTGCCACTCCGCCCTGCTGCCCTGCCACTGCCTGCTCTCTGCCTGCTGCTGCTCTGCCACCCCCGCCCTGCTGCCCTGCCACAGCTGTCCACTGCTGCCCTGCCATGCCCACTCTGCACTACTGCCCTGCCACTGCTGCCCGAGCACTGCTGCCCTGCCACTGCTGCTCTCTGCCACTGCTGCTGCTCTGCACTCCCGCCTGGCCACTCCGCCCCACTGCCCTGTCTGTTCTGCCACCGTCCCGCTGATCAGCATTGTTGCAGCGTCACGAAGAACAGTGGCGAATCGTAAAAGCGCTGCAAACTGCAGTATAATGCACAAGCAGCAGTCGCTGCAGAGACTCGGTGAGAGACTCAGTCTTTATGGAATCTTTTACGGTGAAGACTGCAGTCTTTTTGGAGTCTCTTCGAAGTCTGCCTACTACTTCTACTGCTGCTGCTGTTGCTGCTACTGCTCAACTTCTGCTTCGAGCAAAGATTGCAACATTATTGAGTCATTATTGCGACATTATTGAGTCATTATTGAATCATTGTTGGCTCATATTTGACTCATTATTGAAACAAACGAAATTCTTTTTCGCTCCATGTTGACAACACCTTGCGGTCACAACGCGGTCACAACGCGGTCACAACGCGGTCACAACGCGGTCACAACGCGGTCACAACGCGGTCACAACGCGGTCACAACGCGGTCACAACGCGGTGCTGCTAAAAGGGCTGTAGTGACGTTGTAGTGACGTTGTAGTGACGTTGTAGTGACGTTGACGTTGTAGTGACGTTGTAGTGACGTTGTAGTGACGTTGTAGTGACGTTGTAGTGACGTTGTAGTGACGTTGTAGTGACGTTGTAGTGACGTTGTAGTGACGTTGTAGTGACGTTGTAGTGACGTTGTAGTGACGTTGTAGTGACGTTGTAGTGACGTTGTAGTGACGTTGTAGTGACGTTGTAGTGACGTTGTAGTGACGTCGTAGTGACGTTGTAGTGACGTTGTAGTGACGTTCGTAGTGACGTTGTAGTGACGTTGTAGTGACGTTGTAGTGACGTTGTAGTGACGTTGTAGTGACGTTGTAGTGACGTTGTAGTGACGTTGTAGTGACGTTGTAGTGACGTGTAGTGACGTTGTAGTGACGTTGTAGTGACGTTGTAGTGACGTTGGTAGTGACGTTGTAGTGACGTTGTAGTGACGTTGTAGTGACGTTGTAGTGACGTTGTAGTGACGTTGTAGTGACGTTGTAGTGACGTTGTAGTGACGTTGTAGTGACGTTTTCTACAAAAGAGACTGTAGTGACATTTTAGCGGCTTTTGGAATAAGTTACCATAAGCCCCCCCTTACTTATATATCCTGCACCCAAAAGGGCCAGAGCTCGAGGTGTCAAGCAAGAGAGACCAGAGCAGTTGCACTTGCCTTTGCAAGCGCCGCCCCGTGTGAAACTTGAAGCGTTGTATTGTCGACAGGGCCATGCGCTTGTGTTTGAGACCTTCCCACCTGAAGTGGTGCTGAATAAGCAACAGTTCGCATATTTTCAGACCACGTGTGATGTTTGTCAAGCCACAGTCAGAGATGGAACATACAGATGCCAGGCCTGTGACTGGGACATTTGTGACACATGCGCACGTGCTAACCACCGTGGCGTGTATGGCGTGTAGAGTTTGTTTTCAGTTCTTTTGCCTCTTCGCAAAACATGCGGAGGTGTTTAAAGTCTCAGCATCAAGCAGCTGATTTCAGTTTTGTTTTATAGTCTCAGCATCAAGCAGCTTTCTTTCGCCAACTGCGAGTTGAGACTGGGATGGTTCCACTTCTTGCCTCGCCGCAAAACATGCAGAGGTGTTTAAAACCCTGAAGCCAGCAATCTGCAAGAACGAGATGCCAAAAAGAAGCTTGCATTTGCAAGGCGATTGCCGCGGTCACAAGGCATACCAACGCAGTGTGATTTTGGGGTTGGGGGGGGACAGCGCATTTATGACAAATTTCGCAGATAAGCAGGGTTGGGGCGACGGTACTTGCATAACAAGTTTCAGAGATGAACGGGGGCTGGGGGGGACTGCGCTTGTATGACAAAGAGATAAGTACGGGGTTGGGGGGACTCTACTTTTATGATAAATTTCGCAGATAGGCAGCAGGGTTGGGTGTGCGTGTGTTTGTGTGTGTGTGAGACAAATTGAGCCTAAACTGCTTGAGGAAGAGTTTAGGATGCTTAGTGACCCTAAACCTGTTGAGGGAAAGAAGGGAAGGAAGGGTTCACAGTGACTTTTGAGCCTAAACTGCTTGAGGAAGGGTTTAAGATGTTTAGCGACCCTTAACTGCAACAGAAAACGAAAAAGGCTTCAGGATTATGCTGCCTAAACTGCTTCAGGATGGGTTTAGGATGCTTAGTGACCTTAAACCTGTTGAGGAAAGAAGGGAAGGAAGGGTTTAGGATGAGCATGGAGCCTACACTGCTTAAGGAAGGGTTTCAGGTGCTTTGTGACCCCAAACTGCTTGAGGAAAAGAAGGGTTTGGGGTGGTTATTGAGCTTAATTTTTTCCGGAAGCGTTAGCATGCTGGAAGAAGGAACGTTCGGGATGCTTAGAGATCCTGCTTGAGGAAAGGTTGTTTAGGATGCTTAGTGCCCCTAAATTGCTTGAGGAACAAACGGGGTGATTATCGAGCCTAAACTGCTTGAAGAAGGGTTTAGGGTGCTGCTTAGCAACCCAAACCTAAACTGCTTGAGGAAGGCACGGGACGAAGGGTTTAGGATGCTTAGTGAGCTTGCTTGAGGAAGGGTTTAGGATGCTAAGTGGCCTTAAACTGCCTCAAGAAGGAACGGGAGGAAGGGTTTAGGATGACTATTGAGAGCCTGAAGTGGTTGAGGTTCCACCTGTAAATAGTATAAGAACACAGCAGAAACGGAAACAGACACGTTTGGGTAGAAACAGTCCATACGACTTATTTTTTTGAACTATTCGGCTTTTTTGGGGGGGTTTAGGATACCCGGGCCCAGACATGGCAACATTGCGCGGGCCCCCATGTCGGGCCGGAATGCTGCCCAAAACCATGGGAAATAGTATAAGAACACAGCAGAAACGGAAACAGACACGTTTGGGTACAAACAGTCCATACGACTTATTTTTTTGAACTATTCGGCTTTTTTGGGGGGGTTTAGGATACCCGGGCCCAGACATGGCAACATTGCGCGGGTCCCCATGTCGGGCCGGAATGCTGCCCAAAACCATGGGAAATAGTATAAGAACACAGCAGAAACGGAAACAGACACGTTTGGGTACAAACAGTCCATACGACTTATTTTTTTGAACTATTCGGCTTTTTTTTGGGGGGGGTTTAGGATACCCGGGCCCAGACATGGCAACATTGCGCGGGTCCCCATGTCGGGCCGGAATGCTGCCCAAAACCATGGGAAATAGTATAAGAACACAGCAGAAACGGAAACAGACACGTTTGGGTACAAACAGTCCATACGACTTATTTTTTTGAACTATTCGGCTTTTTTGGGGGGGGTTTAGGATACCCGGGCCCAGACATGGCAACATTGCGCGGGTCCCCATGTCGGGCCGGAATGCTGCCCAAAACCATGGGAAATAGTATAAGAACACAGCAGAAACGGAAACAGACACGTTTGGGTACAAACAGTCCATACGACTTATTTTTTTGAACTATTCGGCTTTTTTGGGGGGGTTTAGGATACCCGGGCCCAGACATGGCAACATTGCGCGGGTCCCCATGTCGGGCCGGAATGCTGCCCAAAACCATGGGAAATAGTATAAGAACACAGCAGAAACGGAAACAGACACGTTTGGGTACAAACAGTCCATACGACTTATTTTTTTGAACTATTCGGCTTTTTTGGGGGGGGGTTTAGGATACCCGGGCCCAGACATGGCAACATTGCGCGGGTCCCCATGTCGGGCCGGAATGCTGCCCAAAACCATGGGAAATAGTATAAGAACACAGCAGAAACGGAAACAGACACGTTTGGGTACAAACAGTCCATACGACTTATTTTTTTGAACTATTCGGCTTTTTTTTGGGGGGGGTTTAGGATACCCGGGCCCAGACATGGCAACATTGCGCGGGTCCCCATGTCGGGCCGGAATGCTGCCCAAAACCATGGGAAATAGTATAAGAACACAGCAGAAACGGAAACAGACACGTTTGGGTACAAACAGTCCATACGACTTATTTTTTTGAACTATTCGGCTTTTTTGGGGGGGTTTAGGATACCCGGGCCCAGACATGGCAACATTGCGCGGGTCCCCATGTCGGGCCGGAATGCTGCCCAAAACCATGGGAAATAGTATAAGAACACAGCAGAAACGGAAACAGACACGTTTGGGTACAAACAGTCCATACGACTTATTTTTTTGAACTATTCGGCTTTTTTGGGGGGGTTTAGGATACCCGGGCCCAGACATGGCAACATTGCGCGGGTCCCCATGTCGGGCCGGAATGCTGCCCAAAACCACCAGGGGGCTCTTCCATTCTTGGGGCTTTTCCAGTTCTGGGCTTTTTCCAGCCCTGGGCTTTTTCCAGCCCTGGGCTCTTTCCAGCCCCAGGCTGCTGTTGGACGTGGGGGGCCTTTTCCTGCGCTAGGCCGTTTCCTTTCTAAGGGCTTTTCCCTGACAAGGGCTTTTCCTGTCAGAGGCTGTTTCCCGCCCTGGGCCTTCCACCCTATAGGTGCGTTGAGAACCTGCAGAAGAACAACCAGAACGGAAGCCAGCAACGGACGGAGTTTTTCCAAGCATGCACAACAGGTCATCAACGTAGATTAATGCAGAGTGGCTCAACCACCATTCACGATGGACCGGCGTACAAGGAGTCCGGCAACGCAAGCCAGTCAAAACCAGACGCATAAGCGCCGAAATTGGCACGGCGGGCGCGGTGGCGGAAACAGAGCAGACCTTGGTCAGCAGGCAAACTCTTAAGGCGGTGAGCTTTGCTGACATCAAAACCAGAGCACACATTGCTTACGAGAGTTAGAAAGCGGAAGACAGCGGCGCACATGCATAACACAAGACGCGTCGGACGAGACTTGAAAGGACAAGGCCAAGTTTCCCAACGGCGGTGTGGCGGAAGCGGGCCTTAAGTTCAGCATCCGCACCTGGACTTCACAGATTCATCACCTTGCGCAAGCTCTTCTTGGAAGTCCCAAACCCTTGCTGGCCAGTCCACCTGCAAAACTTTTACAGCGGTTGGGTTTGGGAACTGTTGCGGACCTCTAGAAAGTAGGCCAAGACCACGACGGCACTGCAGAAAGCTGG